ACTTTACTGAATTTAATTTAACGCAATCATCGGAATTTGGCCATTTATTTTATTGATGTAACTAAATAATGAATAATATCTCCTTATTTTAAGAAATTTTCACTATGAGAAATTTTTATATTGGCAAGCATGATAAACTAGAGGGAATGGCAATAGCGAAAATGTAAGGTTTGAAACTAAAATGAAACGAGACATATTCTTTAATACATTTTCTGAAATATTAATATTATTGTAATTTATTTGTTGTAGATAGAGATGCTGCATTTGCGTTTTTGAATAAAATTGAAAGGACAATTTCGAAAGAAAAACAAGCTGTAGTGCGTGTGAGAACAGGACAGATTGAGTTACGTCTGATGCATAAAGACTCCAAAGATCGTTGCGTCGACATTCAAGTCGTGAGGGTACTAACTGCTACTCTTTTATTCAGCTCGTTTTTACTTTATTACAAGGCATGAATGTATAAGTAAAACACATTTTAAAAGTACTTTGTTATTTTTATATTTGATCATCTTTCCATTATAAAAATTGAAAAATCCTTATTTTCTAGAAAATGATTGAAGAAACTCAGGTACTGCTAGACGAATTGCCCGGAGTTACACCAGTACACGGACCCTTTTATAAGGTTTTCTTTCTCCTTTTTTTTTTTTTTTTCTTTTTGGAAATCAGAATGACCGTCAAGTTTTTAATTCTAGAGATTAGGAATCGTTGTGGAAAGTATGAAATTTTTTTAGGTTTCGTCTATTTATCTAAAGGAAATTGGTAACTACGCTGGCTATTATCGTGAAGCCTTACGTTATTTGGGTTGTGAAGATCAAGCAAAGTTACCGCAGTCTGAGAAGCAGTTGCAAGCAGTATTACTAGGATTTGCTGCCCTGCTGGGTGATAATGTTTACAATTTTGGCGAATTGGTAAAGTTCCTTTTTCCAATGAATTTTCATTTTTTTTAGTTTACAATTATATTACATTTTTAAATATCATGCTTTGTTCTCAATTCAGCTCATCCTTCTCTTTTATGCTAAATTTTGTATTGCAATGAATATCTCTCAGATTTCATTCTGCAAATACTGGAAGCCTTATTGATACATGATGGAATAAATTTTGGTTTTGTTTAATTATAGCTGGCACATCCGATCCTGAAATCGCTAGAAGGAACTCGTGAAAAATGGATCATTGATGTGTTATACGCTTTCAATGCAGGCGATCTTAATAAATTTAATGAATATCGCCCACAATGGGCCGAATGGGATGATTTGAAGGATCATCAGGACCTTCTGGAAGATAAAATTCGCTTATTGAGTTTGATGGAGGTAATTTTGCTCAGTATTTCTTAACTCACCACTGATATAGTTGGGAATTTAGCCACAGAATTTTCGTTTAAACTTATTTCAATTTTAGACTTCGAAACTTCATTCATGAGATTTATAGATTGCTTTGGCTCGTCCATCAAAAGAACGATACATCTCATTTAAAGAAATTGCTGAAAAAGCCCAGATTGATCTTAATAGAGTTGAAGCTCTTGTAATGAGAGCACTAAGTAAAGGACTAGTGCAAGGTTCAATTGATCAAGTGGAGGAACTAGTTAATATTACATGGGTACAGCCAAGAGTACTTTCTCCGCAACAGGTACTTTTATTTTTTTTCTTTTCCTCCACTTTCTTCGGTATTTCGAAGTTGAAGCTAGGACATTTGTTTTCTGCTTTCTAAAGTTATGCAGTTTGTAAAATCTCTTGAGCTCTAATTATTAATGATTTATATAATAAAATCTGAAATAAGGTTATCACTGAAACTGTTGGTCGCTCATCAAACCTAATACGTAAACTTGTTTTACATTTTTCAAAATTAGATCCTGGCAATGAGTGATCGTATTGGAGCCTGGTGTGCTGAAGTTGAAGGAATGGAAACTATTGTTCGTAATAATGCCAGAGAAATACTGACGAAAACATGATGCTAGCTGTTGATTGGTTAACTTGTATTGTTATTATGAACATGGAATAATAAACATAAGTAATGATGAAATCAGAAAATTAATTGTTTTTTCAGTTCAACTTGAAAAATTCGTTTGTGATTCGTTTAAATGCGTTTTTCACGTTTGCATTGATTTTATACGTATGTCGTTAAAAGCTCAGATCTTTCTTGAGATCTGAGCATCGGAAAACACTGGAAACGTTTAAGTTGACGCACAAATGCTGTTATTCTAGATTTTTCTTAAATAAAGCATTCATATTTCCTTCAATCACACCAATATCTTTGCTATAATTTCAGCAGTTACGTCAGCAGCCAGAAATTTACCACTTTAAGGCCACTTTAAAAAAATTTTTAAATTACAGATACCTACTGTAATTAGAGTGTACATTAGAGCAAGTACAACAGAAGCCTAATTGTAGTCCTACATGTTGTTCAAAATTCAAAAATTCGCTGTCAAGATTGTCGGAAGTTGAAAACAACTACAAAAGGATGAGGTTGTGTGAAATTCTCCAAAATATAATCGAAAGATCAAATTCAGGAAGTATCAATCAGAGTGGGAAGATTGCGAAACAAAATATAGTTATTGCCGAATTTTTCGATTAGTGGAGACACTAAATGTGGTATATTGAAAATCATATCACTTAGATTTAGTATTTTAAGGAGGAAGGAGCCTTATAAATTCGAGTTATTGATTTGCATCTTCTAGTATCTCAAAAAAAGAACATTTCAATGAGAAAGACATGCGGAGAAACATTTCAATATTTGTTTTACCACAGGTAATCTATTAGCTTCGAGAAATACCGGAAGTTATTTAATTTGGTGAAATGGAAGAAAGTCCCATGAGAACAGGGAATACTCTCCACAGTCCATAACGTATATGATATGGGCAATTTTCACGATATTTGAATAACTGTTATCACCCACCATTAACATTTTAACCTCAAAATTTCAAACTTTAGTCAAAACAGAAAAATCAGACAAAATTAATATATTATTAACAAAGGATGAGAAGTAGTAATGCATAATTATTATAAAAATTGTTATTCAAATGAATTGGTATCACAACAACTAGAAATTATTAATTCTGTTCATAGCAATTAAAATTAATAATAGCTAAATAGCTTGATCAATAATTTTTTATCCAACATCATACCTCAAAACAAACGATTCATGTGGAAATAATCAAATGCTATTTAGGCATATAATGGAAACAAAAAAGGGAATGAAAAACTGAATGATTCTTAATACAACCATAACTTAGTAAAAAAATACATAAGAAATATGGACATGATTTCAACGTAGTAAGCAATAATTCCATTGCGATGTTGGACTACCTAATTGCTTCCATAATGGTATAAATATATAATTAACTAACGATGATAAAATGTAGAGATTAAAATAAGGAAAAATGAATTGCTGAAAGAATCATATAAAATTACCCGATAATGGTATACTGGAAGTAATAAATTGCAATTAATGTTTATTTGGTTATCCATTACTCAATTATTCAGTTAAGGAAAGCGAGAGAAAGGAATTGCTTCGCTTCGGTCACTGCATAAAAAAGCAGTGGCAACGAGCATGGTATGATGATGTCAAATTGGGATATACTAGAGATCGGAAAAGTGATTAAATGATACTCCCTGAGAAAAACAAAAGCTTTTGTGCACATTCAGTAAGATATTTGCATATTTCTCAGAGCCTGAAAGAACATTACTTAAGCAGGAAATGTTTACATAAATGATTCTTGCATACTTTTTTTTCTTAAATTAGAAATGAGCTTAAGAAAAATCGTAGGGTATTTGGTGTTTGTGAGCCATTTTGATCAATTTTATTACAAAAAAAAAACAATGGGACTTAAAGGGAATTAGTTTTTATCATCAATTTGTATCTGATTAATACTTGGTTAACTTGCTATTTTATAGAATGAGCAGATCCGGCGAACAAAATCCAGAACATCCGGATATTTCCGATGTTGCATTTAGAAGCATTTAGAAAGGGAACAATAATACATTGTAGGAATATATGCGCGAAAAGAAGGTAATTCTCTTTTCTTTGTCATGAATAAGGATTAAGATAAAATAAGACTGTAAAACACAGTCTTTTCAGATTGAAAACTTACTCCTAACTGCTTGAAAGACGAAGGTCGAAATGAAGAGGAGTCCGTACTTCAGGAGTTGACATTTAACAAAGAAGAGGCAGAGTGCGCCCCTCTGCCTGAAAATGACGATGACGCCGAGAACTAACTGTCAGGAGCACAGTGGAATCCTCTGCCAGATGATGAGAGTAAAAGCCAACAGCATCGATGGAGACAAGTATCGTTGCGGAACCGGTTAAATCGACTTGCGAGCTCGTCGTGTAAACTCTGATTTCTCAAACAAATATAGTAACTATGTAGTAAATAAAGTAATAACTAGAGCAATATTAACTTTAGCTGCTAAATAATTCAAGCTAAACTATTTCAGAATAACGAGGACGATTAAAATTCTGCTTTTCGCAACGCATGAATCGTTGGCTGCGGCATCACTGGGAGAATTTCACCCCGCTGATTTAGGGGACTTCCACAGCTCCGACGGAAGTTGCTAGTGCCGCAAGCGGAACCATACACGATGGTTCAGGCAAAGGGAATAACAACATCAGTAATTCATAATTTTAATAACGTTAGAAGTGGTTTTATGTCTATAATTTTTCAAAAGAATATAATGATAAAATCATATTTATGAAAAGTTTTTCGTTATAATACGTCAAAATGGTCACAAAATTCCCATATGGATGTTTTAGAAACAGTTTGTGCGACATTATTTTCTAATCATTTCTATTTTCAGTGTTTGGTATCTGCGACAGGCTGGGACATTGAAAAAGTTGCTTATTCACGTCTCAAGGACACACAAACAGCACGGTAAGTATTTCTAATCAGAATTTCCAGTTAGTTTTTCAAAACGATTTTTTTTTATTCATCTAGAAGTTAGCAGACTAATTAATTATGAATCTCCTGCTACCATCCGGATTCACTGCCGCACAAAGAGCAACAGCTGAAGATGTGTGGCCATGTCAACGAAAGACGGGTCAACCGCTTCAGGCTTGATTTGGTGGGGAAAGAAGAGGATACTTACCATTCCAGGTGAGAAATTATTAACATTTAAGAAGCAGTATTTAAAAGTAAAAGATAATAAAATTCGAATGGTTACAAAAAAAGAAAAAAAAACATCCGGAAAGTTAGGTTTCACATTTGTTCTGACCAGTGAATTTTTTTTCAGGCCACTGATATTATTCGGCTCTTCTCACTTGGCCAATCTGCTAGGCCTGTCTCAGCCCTCCATCCCTCTGCTCAATGATTTACGTTCAAGTGGTTAGCATAACTCAAAAATAAAAATGAAAAAAAAAATAAGGAAAAATTAAGAAAATCAAAAAGGAAGCATAAAACAAAAATAAAAAAAAGAAAAAAGAAAATTGAAAAAATAAAAGATGAAAAAAAATTAAACACGAAAAAAATAAAGGAATAAAAGAAATTTTTTGCTATCCAGAATAATTTAGATGTAAAAACAACTAATTCAAAGTCTGTGAAGAGATAATAAAGCATTTGAAGATTTTTCAGTCATTTTATGTTAGCATATGTTGTCATTAATTATTGTGGCACTGTGAGAATCAAAAGTCCTGTAAAAGTTTTTTCTTTTTTTGCATAAAAAAAGTTCTGCTCGAGAATGATTTTTGATTTTCGGTTCTCAGTATCAGGCAGTGATCCATCACAGCATAATTGTTGATTATTTCCATGTTCTTTTACACCTTTTTCTCAAATATTTCAAACCATAGTAAATATTTTAAAATTAATTTTAAGATAATGGAGGATTTTACTCAGTATAGAGTAACCGAAAAAAAAAAACTCGGAGTATTCGTGACTAGTTTAGAGGTTTATTGAAAATTTTTGAAAAAAAAAAACCTTTTCGCTCAAAAAATTACGATCGATATTGTGTTCGAATTCTTGCAGATCTGTTTCAAATTTGTTTCTTGGAAGGTAATACGCAGATGCGGGAACGCTATAAAAAAGTTTATATGCGAGAACGCAGCAGAAATAAAAGTTCGTGTGCGAGAATCATTTTAAAGTTTCATACGAAAAGTAAATAAACAGTAATAGTTTGAGAAGCGAAATAGTTCTGTGGTTGAGTTAAAAAGAAACGGTCATTATAAAACTGTCAAGCAGAAGCACGTTATGCATGTTTATCCAAATTTCTGTTTGTTGGAAGATGCTCTGTGATAAATGATTTCTCTTGAGCTTGTCTCTAAATATCTCAAAAATCATTTGTTAAGTATGAATCGAGGTTATCGAGATTTATGATTACAGATTTTCTATTACAGAAGATATCAAAAAATAGAGAATTATTATTGTAGTACGATATAGAAAGTGTATATTCAGGTATTCTTTGTTTTTCATTTTTCATTTTAGATGTCTTGGTCTAGATTAATTTTTTCGTAAAAATAAAAAGAAAAAATTTAAAATTGGTTTATCAAGATCAAGCATTACAGAGCGAAAAAATTGAAGAATTGATTTGACCGAAACTTCAAATTCACTCTCTGCAATATTTTTCATCATTTGGTAGAAAATTATTTACACGCATAAATTGTCTTACAATCACTGTATTATTCTGATATAAAGCAAACAGTTCAGCAATTGTAATTTATTCTTTTAATACAATAATCGAAGAAAGGTTGCTTTGAATTGTGGACCTCATGCAGTCTCATAATGAGCAAAGGTGAATGTGTCAAATTTTATTAGAACTTGACAATGGTGGGTTCGAAATGAAGAAATTTCGGTTCCGGCATATTTAAACAGTTCAAATCGTTTTTTGGAGAAATATATTAAATGGTAAAGTATTCTTTGCCATTCTTCTAAGTCTTAACATCCATCCTCTCAACAGAAAATATACTTCAGATTTTTTGAGTTATCTTTAATTAAAAAATAATCGATTCTTCCTAAAAATTTAATTATAAAATTTACATTTCTTATTATGACCTAATAGAAAACGTGTCTTTCCTTTTTCTCAATTCGAGCAAAAAATTCAAGTAAAAATATTACTGGCTTAAAAACAATTAGTGGCTTTAAAAAAAATTACTCCTAAAATTAACAAAAGTTATACATTAGGTCATATTAATTACCTGCACAATAATTCTTACATCCTATTATGCAAGAAATTTTAAAAAAGTAATGAGATTAATTGCTTGTTTTTTCACTTTTCAGTTTGAATTTAAACTCTAATTTTAGGTCTTTTATCTTAAATGAAATAATATTTTTGTTACAGTATTGTGTTTGCAGGAGCCATAAGTTACCATCAACAAGCTTAACTGGATTATATTCAGCTTATGCAATCTCTTGTATTGTTAGTTCCAAATTTGTATTTGGAAAAAAAAGTGCTTATTTTAACGGAATTTTATTGAGCTGTTCGAAAGATTTAATACGAAAAAGTTGTGATATTCAATCTTGTAAAAATTTTCATGTAGCAAATACCAATCAACAATAAATTTGAAATGAAAATTTGAAAATAAAAATAAATAAATGCAGGATCTGATCAGTATTTATCATAGGGTGATCGATTGTGGACTTTTGCGCTTATATTAATATTAGAATACATTGGCGGTATTCGATTGGTATGTTTCAGCCAGTTATTCGACGAAATAATCATTATGGCATTTGGTTCAGTAATTGGAAGTTGGATGGATCATCATACTAGAAAACGCGGTAAATTAAATTAAAATTTTTAACTTTCACTTTTTTCCATTTTCTTATCGACATTTTGTGAAGCAATCGATAAGATTTTTATTTAAAAAAATCTAACTCAGATTACTCTTATTCAGCAATTACTTTTATTTTACAACTTATTAACTAATTAAGCGTTGTCATTATTGGCTTCAAGTAGTGTTATCATCAGTGTGTAATGGATCGATTTTCAGGTATAATAACAGTGTTGATTGTAAATAATACTAATGTAGCAATATCAGCAGCATTGCTTGCTTCATGTATTACAATAAGTGAAATAAGCACTAATTATGATGTATGTGATTATTCGTTGTCATTAATTTGTTATCATGATTACGTTCGTTGTTATCCGTGTTATTATCACAACTGCCGTAGAATTAGTGATAACTTATTCATAATTATATTCTAATTATGTAAATGCTATTCCTTCCTTCCATTCTCTGAGATATTTCATATTTTCTTAATTGATATATTTAACATAAATTTGTTTATTGTCACGTTATATAAAAATATAGGCAAATTTTTAATTCTAAAAGAGAAAATTTTTAGTCACATTCTTTATTATGGCATATTCTCTATGTCATTTGCATTGTTTTATCGATAATTACCTGTTCGCTCAGTTGTTTAGCAAGTGAAATGGAAAAAATGGCATTTACCAAAGATTGGATTGTTGTTATAACTAAAAAAGATGAAACATCATTGTCTGGTACAATTTTATTTTGCTCAAACATTATCAATTATTAATTAAATCTTAAAGAATTCACTTAAATTTGAATGAAAAAATTTGACAGATTTAATAAATAAATAAAAATTTAAAAGAAAAAAAAGAAACAGAAAAAAGGTAAACAAACAATTAAATAATAACATTTACAACAGCTTTTATTATTTTATTTAATTAGAAATTATTTATTATTATTTTTTTGTTTTAGCTGCAAATGCATGGATGAAAACGATTGATCTGTCATCATCAGTAGTGTCACCCTTTATATCTGGTTATATTATCAATTCGATTGGTTACCGCTTTGCATGTATGATATTCGTAGTATGGAATTTGTTATCAGTATTTATAGAAGCATATATTATCATCAGAGTTTACAATGCGGTAGCCGAACTTGCTAAAAGAGATTTATCACCCTGTCTTGGTAAATTCATTATTAGTGATTATCAATGGAAATTTTGATTTGAAAAAACAAAAAAGGCAAAATTGTGTACTAACATGAATTTTAAAGAATTGAAATTAAACTTTTAAGCCGTAGTAATGACTCGAAGACATTAGCAATCCGCAAAAGAGATACACTAAGTGGGACGTGATTTAAGTACCTTAGTAATCAGTAGAAGGGACAGACTTTGTGAACTTCGACATTGACTTAAATACTGGAAGATCTGCAAAAGCAGCGCACTAATCAACCTGAACGTGAGTCAGACGTGCTACCCAACGTGAAGTCAGACGTGCTACCATTGCATCAAGAGACTTGAACACCACGATTATAAGCAATACTGTTCATATTAGCACTTTCGAAAATGAAAATTATTCACAGCTAATATTTATAATTACAAAGAATTGCAGCTATTAAAAAACTAGTTCAGTGCTCCTTGATGAATTCAACGTAAATAATTATTAGTTTCTATTTGGATAAAAATATAGCGAAATACTAAGAATAACTGGATTAAGATAGATGAAGAGAGAGAGAGAGAGAGAGAGAGAGAGATTTGGTGAAATATAAGTGAAAGAATTGTAATAATAAGTGAGTAATAATTAAAAATAAAAATTGATTTAATCAATTTGTATAAGCGATTTTTTCTTAGCAAAATTATTCATTTTTCTCTTTTTCAGTGCAGCAGAAAAAAAAAATTATTTGCAAATAAAATTGTAAAAATAAAGAGTTCCAAATTTTTTAATTTTTTTTTGTTCAATTCTTTTCAATTTTCAGTTTTTATTCAGTTTTAAATTAATTTCTGAATTTCCAATTTTTTACTTTTTTCGATTTTTCCCTTCTCACAGTTATATTTAACTAATGAAAAATTGCTACTTAATTAAATTAAGTTAATTAAGTAACCTTTTTTTGTTGAATAATACAAATAACATCTGTTTAAAGTTTAATTATTAGTTTTAAATAATTTGAAATTTTTAAATTTTTTAGATGAACAAAGAAAAACTGAATGCTGCAAGAAATGTCCAGGTTTTATACAGCGTACAATTGGCAGATGGCTTACATTATTTTACATTTATTATCAACAAAATGTTTTCCCAGCAGCATTTGGTCTAACTTTACTGTACATGACTGTGCTTGGATTTGATGGCGTACTCTTTTTCTTTCTAGAAATTTTGAAAAAAATCAAAAAAAAAAAAAGAAATTAAAATCAATTCTGTTTTTATTTGTTGACATGCTTTGGAATTTCTGAAATTATTTAAAATTATAAAATAAAATAATAGCAATAATATATAAAAATAGAATGATTAAAATTATAAAATAAAAAAAGTAGTATCGATGCATTTTATATTTCAAATCTTTGTCATTTTTTTTTTTTTTTTTGTTTGTTTCAGATAGCCATTGGCTATGCAAAATCACAAGGCCTATCAGCATTATGGTTAGGCATTCTGAGAAGTATTGGTGCTGCTTTTGGTATTATGGGTGCATATTTATATTCTCTTATCGAAACTCATTCTTCGGCAAGGAAATCCGGATTTATTGGCTTAACTGTATTTTTTAGATGGAATTTTAATCCGATTTTTATATAATGATAATTGTGGGAAATTTTTGAGAATTTTATTCAGTTATGATTGGTTTACGAAATTTTTGACAGCTATTAGTAGGTAAAGCAATTAAATTGCTGTGCTTAACTTTTTTGCTGGTCAATAAATATTAACTGTCTATACCAATATCAAATTATTAGCCATAGTATAAGATGAAAAAGTGAAAATGAGGCATCAAATTTGAATTATTTCAAAATTTAATTAAGATATTAAAGCATGAAAAGGGAAAACTTTTGCACTTGCATTTCATTTTACCGATATAATTTTTTTTTTTTTCTTCAAGGCTCAGCATTTGGCTTTGTATATTTGCATTATTTCTATTTGGTTACCTGGTTCACCATTTGATCCAATAACATATTTTAGAGAAATTACTTTTGCTGTATGTTTGCTCAATCGATAAATGAATCCACAGTAATTTAAATTCAAAAATTAACTGAAACAATCTATGAATACTCTCATTTTTCAACTATTCTATTAATTCTCATAATTTATTTTTAGATGAATTTAAATGACAAATTTTTTGTGTTTATTTAGTTTTGGTAAAAAAAAAAATATAAAAAAATTTAAGTTGTTAGTAATTGTTGTAGATTTGGTGGCAACAATTAAAAGATAGTTTTGCATTTGTTCGCGATAAAAATGAAAATGAAACTGACCCAAATGATATTGATTGGTCAACCTGGACATCAAATGGACACTCTATTATTAGCGCTTTCACACTGCTAATAGGTATAGCGGTAGCAAGATTAGGTAATATGCTAGAATGAAAATGAATTTATTTCAATCATTGAGCTTAACTGTAATGAATTTTAAACTTATCTATATTAAAAGCTCACAATTAAGGAATGATGATAACAATAAACTTTTTGCTTTTTTTTTTTTTAAGTAAATAATGTTTAACTCATGCATCAATTGTTAAGTACCACATGTAAGTGATTCTTTTATAGTATGAAACTGAAATTTCAAATCCTTTAAAGTTAAAAGTTAGAAGATTGCATGCGATTGACTTTTAGGCTTATATATGGCGGATTTGTCAATTTCACAAATTATGCAAGAAAAAGTACCTGAAAGAGAACGAAATACCGTTTTCGGTGTACAAGATTCAATAGCACAGTTCTTTAGTATGCTCAAAGTAATTCTTTGCTTTTTTTTCTAAAAAATTTTTATAATATTCGAGTATATTTCAACTTTTAAAATATTTAAACTCCAAACATATCATAATTAAAATTATTTCATCTATTAAAAATATGAATTCATGCACAATCATGGCGAGAGATTTTCTCAAATTCCTAAAACACTAATTAATTAGGAATGTAAATAGAAATATAGTTGACTGGATGTACTACTTCAATATTATATCATTTCATATGTTTTTCTGTTTGTTTTGTAAATATAGAGATTCTCTATTTCAATGTTAAATTGATTCATAAAAATGTTTGTAAAATTTGTTCTTTTTTTTTTAACCTATCCTGAACAATTAGCATCTTCGTTCATTCTTTACTAAATCTTCAACATATTATACCTTTGCTTTCTTTAGGATATCTTAACCATAATACTACCGGACCCAAAAACATTTGGCATACTTATCATTATTTCTATATTATTTGTATCCAGTGGATTCCTATGTTTTTGCTATTATATTCTTGCGGTAAATTCTAATTAAAAATTTAAAATAGTTGGAAAAACTATCATAATGAATGAAATGAGAAGAAAGCTACTTATTATGATTCTTGTTAGGGTTATGCTTAAAGATAAATTTATGAAAAGCTAATATTTGACAAATTTTTCTGGAAATTTTCACAAAACTAATCAATGCTAGTTAATTCTTGTGCTGAAGTAGCAAAGAATAAAAATTTTTTTTAAAATCTATTTTAAAAAAGATAGAAGATATATGAGCAATTATTATAAGTGTGAATGACTTGTAATAAGTAAAGGAAAGTATGATTTTAGGTATGCTTTAGCTATTTGCAAATTCTTTCAACAAACAAAAAAAGTTAAAGGTTGAATTTGCTATTTTTTGCAAGCAATTTCAGGTTGTTGATTACGAGGAAAAAATCGAAGTAGCCAATAGCAACACAGAAAAGAACCATAATGAATCCGGAAATGTTTCAGTGAAAGCAAATGAGAGCACCAGAGAACACATTTCTGCTTCTTCGGATATGCAATAACAACATCCAGCACAAGCAAAAAAAAAGAAAATTATAATTTTTTCACATTAATAAACTGTTTACTTATAAATGTTTACCATTTGCAAAGAACTTGATAAATAATTTTTGAGTAGTCAAACGGGAATAACTGATAGTAAGATTTACATTTTTGTTCTGATATTTTGTTTCGGATATTTCAGTTTTTGTTTTTGTTTTTTTATTTTATTTTCTTGCAAACTAGCAAAATTGCTAAATATTTATACGTTTATTTCTATCAAATATTAGAATATCAAAAGAAATTTGCAAAGTATTGTCGAAAAACTGAAAATTTTTATCGAATATCAAGTGTTATCAGTAATATACTATCAAAAACTAATGACAATGTCAACGAACCTAACAGAACAAATGTTTATTTCTCATTTTGGTCGGTCATCCATTCTTGAGTATTTTTCCTGAAAAACAAATAATAATTATATTATTTCAAGTGGGCTAATAAACAATTTTCGTTCAAAATAACTTTAAGAATAAATGCGAAAGATATTAACTATTTGAGAAATGCTAATTGGAGAAAATTTTTCTGTGATTTCTGTGAACTGATATTTTTAACGACAATAATGATAAAATGGTGTCATCTGTAATAAACTAACAAAAAAAAATATTGTAAAACAGATTCAGCATTCATTCCGGAATTGGGACAGTTTGAAAAAATTAACGGAGATAGCAAGATTAGGTAATATGCTAGAATAAAAATGAATTTATTTCAATCATTGAGCTTAACTGTAATGAATTTTAAACTTATCTATATTAAAAGCTCACAATTAAGGAATGATGATAACAATAAACTTTTTGCTTTTTTTTTTTTAAGTAAATAATGTTTAACTCATGCATCAATTGTTAAGTACCACATGTGATTCTTTTATAGTATGAAACTGAAATTTTAAATCCTTTAAAGTTAAAAGTTAGAAGATTACATGCGATTGACTTTTAGGCTTATATGTGGCAGATTTGTCAATTTCAAAAATTATACAGGAAACCTGAAAGAAAGAAAAAAAGTACCTGAAAGAAATACCTGACAAGATTCAACAGCACAATTCTTTAGTATGCCCAAAGTAATTATTTGCTTTTTTTTCTAAAAAAATTTTATAATATTCGAATATATTTGAACTTTTAAAATATTCAAATTCCAAAAATATGATAATTAAAATTATTTCATTTATTAAAAGTATGAATTCTCTAGAATCGTAACAAATCAGCAATATATTTCTTATATTGAAATATGTTTCTTCGTAAGAAAGTCTGCATATGTTAACGAAAACAAAACAAGGGTGATGCACGGAAACAAACCGCAAACTTTTTTTTTTGGCTAATTATCCTTTTTAAGATTGTTTCAGGACATTAGTAATTTGCTAATTACTAATTTCAATTTCTTCTTAGTTTGTCAGTTCCTTCATCTCATTCCATCCTTCAAGTGTATCTTCCAAATTTGCACAATTAAAACGGAAAAATAAAGTAGTAAGTGATATAGGCTTGTAGTGTTATAAAGACAAGAAATCAGTTCTTGTTCGAATCTACAAAAATGCGTTGATGAATAAATTTCACAAATGTTATTAAAGGTAAAATTTAGCATTTTAAATAAAAAATTCGAATAAAAAATTACAATGATGTTATATCGAAAATTATTTGAACTGAACTTGAATTCAAATTTATGGATCCATCAGCAGTTTCATTGTTGAATGTTTTAGTTTTATGCATACATTGTTTGTGATTCACAAAAAAAGCACTTTATGCTAATATTTTGGCATAATTTTTGAAAAGCATTGAAAGGTTTAAGTTAATAAACAAAAAAATTTCATAAATACTACATTCTTTTATTATCGAAAATTTTTCTCCATGGATTAATTACCTTTATTGTATTATAATTTTATTGTTAATAATTTTAAAATTATTTTTAAATAAATTAGACAATGGCTTTGAAATTGATATTTTTCGAGCGAAAATGAAGAAAGGTCAAAGATTTCCTCTTTTCCACCTTATGGCAATAGGATGCAAATCCGTACGATCCGCAAGGATAGTTTTTATTGACACGAATAAATGCACCTTCAATTTGTCTTCCCAAAATCGCTTTCCTTGTAATGGTGACAGGAACCGGTAAATGAACATTCAAACATCGAAAATATATGTAACACACAAACATTTACACATCCGTTTTCGCTTTCAAAAGAGCCGGTATGGTGATTGGAAAAATGTAGGAAAGGATGTTAAAATTGTTGACCCTAATTCGGCTTATTTAATTTCTACTACTGGGACATTTAAAAAAAAAAAAAAAACCGGTTCATTCAGATACAGACACACATATGTTTAAACAAACGTAGTATGTATCAAAATTTTGAGCTCCTATCAGCTATAAGCAAAATGAACACTTCGTTTACAACACACAATTTAAACATGAAAAATCACAAAATCCAAAATTTTAGCAATTTTTAATTAATTAATTAATTTATCTTACTATCATTTATCTATTTAACTATATCATTGTGATAGAATCTAATATTTAAATCAATTGTTGTTATTTTTATCTTCAATCAATCAATTAAAATTATTACTAATTTTTTTCCCACCAATCACTATAATTTAATAAACTATAAATCGATCGTTAGTACCATTTTTGGACTTTATTTTTACAAATTTGAAGTGAATCTTAAAAGGATTTAATCACTTTACGAACTATGATTAGTTGATCGATTGATTGATCAAATTATATTGAATAATAATGTAACTTGACCACTTCGTGAGAAAAAAAAAATTCTAACGTTAGCTCAAATTTAAATTTTCAAAGAAACACAACCGAATGTTTTGGTGTAATTCATTTTATTCCATTCATTATCGTTCATTGTCATTCATGAAAATTTTTTTTTTTTTTTTTTATTTGTAAGATATTATTTTGGTAATCCTAAATATGTATAAGTAAGAAATTTTGTTTTTCTTCTTTCTGTCTTTCTCTCTCCTTTCTTGCACAAAATAAGGATATTAGAGAAGGGAATGAAATGAAATATTAATGAGCTGATATGATCAATCATTAAAAAACAAAAGGATTAATAATATGCTAACAGATCAAAATTAGATCAATGGAATCAGGATATCTTTTTCGTTTTTAATTGATTTCTTTTATTGTCAGCTTTTTTATTTTTTCTTTTCTCTTTCTATTGAAAATAGAAAGAGAAATCTATCCTTGACCTTAATTTTCCTTCTAACTTGTTTAATAACTTTTTTTCTTTCTTATCTTTATAGTCATATTATTTCCTATGATAATATCTGCTTATCCAAAAAAGATCAATTTGCATATTTTATTTTTACAATTAGGAAATTACTTACATATTATTAATATAGCATCTAATGATTAATTATATTAATCTTTATATTAATTCTATAATAATGGGAATAATTAGAATTATTTGCAGCTAAACATATTTTTATAGATAAGCATATGGATCTAAAAGGAGTAGAAGAATGTAGTGATGTTGATGATGATGATGATGATGATTATAATGTTGATGATGTCGATGTTGATGATGATGATGATGATGATTGGTTAGCTACAAATTGAATATGTTTACTGATTTAAGTTTGCAATAGATTGAGACTGACCCTTAGGTTTAAGGTAATTGGCGTGATCGAGAGTGGTGCAGATGAAGAGAAGCACTTGTTCATTGTTTACAGCTTGAACCAAACCATACATACTCATTAAATTTAGAAGATCATCACTCGCCTCTTTCAATAATTTATTAACAAAAGCAACCCGAAATAGTTTATTTTGATTGATCCTATTTTTGCTTTGTTACTTTCCACAGAAATATCCTAAATTATAAGTCAAAAATGTGATCTTACTAATTACTCTTGTCTCTTTTTATAAGATTTTGATGAAATCAATTGTAGAAAGAGGAAATATTACCATTTATTTCGATATTGTATGATTCACTTAATTTAATTATCTAATCTAATCTAACAAATTATCAAATACCAATTTCTTTCCTTTTTTTTCCGGTCATTATTTTAATGATTGCTATAAATAATAAGATAAATATAATGAGAATTTAGTCATTTTCAATGAATTGTATGAATAAATAAATGAGTGAAGAAATAAACAAATATATCATATCAGAACTTTTTTATTTCGTTTTATTCCTGACGGCAGTTCAGCTTGAATTCATTTTCTGCACAATTCATTCCTATGTTACGCAACTAACCGGAGTTTCGTTTTCAGGTTTTCGGGTTAAAAGAGAAGGAGGGTTTTTGTTAAACAAGAAAAAGAAGTGTAAATAATGGGATACATGCATATATCTTTCTAGTAATATACATGTATTTAATAAAAACCGGCCTTAAAATTTAGGTAATTGTGTCACTGCCATATCGGATCCGTCCTCATTCTAACAAAAAGGAAAGAGCTCTTTCCTTGTCTCTCCCTCTCTCTTTCTCTCTCCCTATTAATCCCTCTCTTTTCCTCTTTCTCTTTTTATTCTCTCAAAATTTTCACTATCATTTTCTTTACATTCATTCATAAATTTCACTTTCATTTCGTACCAGTAATTATTTTTTTTCCGGATTTAACCTATATTTTTAGATACAATTACAATTTACTGTTTCTATAATCATTCAAATGTCTAACTTTTACCCTTCACGAAAGATTCTTAAAAAGACAAACGAATTTTTATTTTCATCATTGGAATGAGTTTGATTATTGCAGAGATAAATTTCACAAATATCTTATCTATTCCCCTCTCATTATTTCACATTCATTTCTTTTTTTCCTGAACAATTTTTTTTCCATTCTTTTTTAAAAAAATTTTAGGTGGAAATATTTAATAGTCTCATTGTATCACACTCTTATAGCACATTATTTAAACTATGACTTATGAAAATTAATGTATATTTGTAAAAATATAATGTTTTGTTACTATTACTTATTATTACTCTTTCTTTCCTACGCTTTTTGTCTCTTTATGAAATCCAACAAAAAATAAAAG